TTAAGTAAGAAAAATAAAGCACAAATAGTATTCAGAAATGAAGAACGCATACCCTTATTCTCTTTAACCCTATTTGTTTTGTTTTTGAAACATTGAGAAAGGTCAGTGTAGCTAGCTTATTTTATACCTCTATTATCACTCTTTCTAAATATTGCTACCAGCCTGTAAATTGAAATACTAATGTTTTGCTATTTAATAAGTCCACCTCCTCTCTTAAGAACTCTGCTCATTACAAATAGCAATTCCATTCAGCACTGTCACTTATCTATGAAAAATAAAGAGCCTTTATTGAGTGCTGTTGTTGATATTGATTCCAACTTCATAGAACTGACCTTCCAGCAGGTTTTTAGAGGCAGTAAATCTCAAGGGAGGAGACTGCTCTTCTTCTTTCCACAGAGCAGCTGGTGGATTGGAACCATGTACTTTTTAGTTAGCAGCTCAATTCCTTACCACTAAGCCATCACAGCTTCCTTCAGAATATGTTACTATACTACGATTTGTAGTAACATATATCTTTATTTTGTCACTGAGCATATGTTACTATAAATAAAAAATCAATATTTGCAATATTTCTTTAAAAGCCATAATATCCAAAATATCCAGAATGCAATCCAAAATTACTTGGCAAAGTTCCACCATGAAAATGTCAACTTTCACAACAATAGCTGTCATTGTGTCAACATAAAAATATAATACTTAGAAGAAAATCCATATCATTAATTTATTATTTGAAATAAGAAAGCCTCAAATCAATTAGTTAAGCTTTTCCCAGAATAACAGAAAGATGTTTACTTGTGTTTTATTGGCTATGCAAAGTCATTCCACCATATGAATCTTAACAAATTAGGACTAGCATTGAGAAGTATACTTAATTGTACTCATACAAAACCTATACACTGACCAGGAAGCAGTTGTCAGATCTGAACAAAGGAATATGTCACGTTTCGAACAGGAAATGTGTGTTTTGGGGTTGTATCCTTTCTCTATACCTATTCAATCTGTATGCTGAGCAAATAATTTCAGAAGCTGACTATAACATGAAAAATCTGGCATCAGGATTGGAACACTCAGTATCAACATGCATTATGCAGTGAACAACTTTGGTGGTAGAAAATGAAGAAGATTTGAAGCACTTAAAACAGAAATCAAAACACTACAGCCTTCGATATGAATACATCTCAACATCAAGAAAATAAACATCCTCATCACACATCATGACGAAGGCAGAAAAGCTTGAAAATGTCAATTTATTTTACTTGGGTCTACAATCCACAACCATGATAGCAGTAGTTAAAATCAACAAAATGTATATTTCATTGGGGAAATTTGCTGTCAAGGAGTTCTATAAAATGCCAAAAAGCAAAGATTTGAGTGGAAAAACCCTAAAGTGAACCAACCTTATGCAAGTCATTGTACTTTCAAATGCTTCACATACTTAGGAAAGTTAAAACAATGAATAAGGAAGATGGAAGAAGAACAGGTGCTTCTGAATTGCTGTAATGTTATGAAGAATATTGACTACACCATGGGCAAATCTGTCTTGGAGGAAGTGCAACCAGGGGGCACCTTAGAGGCAAGGATGGCTACACTTTGCCTCATCTACCATGAGCATATTGTCAGGAGGGGTCAATCCTTGGAAAAAGATACCATGCAGGAAAAGTTGAAGGGTCAGCAAGAGAGATGAAGACTTTCAATGAATTGGAATAACACATTGACTATAGATTAGAGCAAGGTGAAGATCATGATGATAGTGCAAAAAAGACAAAGTTGTCACCTATTGTTCATAGGGTCTTTTTGAATCATAGTTGACTCTATAGTACAAAAGAAAGTTTTCCCTAAAGTATTCTAATGAGATGTACAAAGATCTGGTTAGAAAACTAAAAAGGAAGAATATGCTCAGGATTTTGGAAGTTCAAAGAATTTGAGACAAAATTTAAGACGGTGCAATAGTGAAGGATTTTTTGTCAATCAAAAGAGGATGGCAGGGAAGAGCTACAGAGTGGTTCACAGTGTGTTGTGCCACTACCCCAAAAGAAGATGAAAAAAACAAAACACAGAGCCACTGTATAAAGAATAATTGGTTGAGGTTCTGCCATTTCTGGAGATAGCACACAAGAAGAAGAAATAAAAAACAAAGGCATCAAAAAAAGAAGTCTACACTTCACTGAAGACCAATTTGGAGTCTGGGGAAGGGTTCCAAAAATTAAGAGAATATCATTTGAAATGATTAAACAAATAGAGGTACTCACTTCTAGATGACAACAAATTTGAAGGTAGCCATCTGGCCAAATGATTGGAAAAGATCCCTGTTTATCCTCATTGCAAAGAAAAATGGTCCAACAGACACTACAGAAATTACTGGATGATAACACAGACAAGGAAACACTGCCAGGGATCTACCAGAAATCCAAGCTGATTTCAGAAGAGCATGTAAAAGGAAGAATATCATTGCTGATATCACCTGTCAGCAGGAAAACAGAAAACATCAGAAAAATTTTTACCTTTTATCAACTAAGCAAAGGTATTTTTTTTAAATTTTGATAACAAATTATGAATAACATTATAAAGGATAGTCATTTAAAAGAATTCATTTGTTCCCATGTTGTTGTTTTATGTCCTTGAGTTGGAACTTACCCACAGCTGACCCTCCAGCAAGTTTTCAGAGGCAGTAAACCTCACAAGAGGAGACTGTCCATCCTTCTTCCACAAAGCAACTAAAGGATTCAAACTGTGTGCCTTTCAAATTGCAGCACAGCTTCTTATCACTAGGCCACCAGAGTTTCATGAAGAAATTGTAAATTATTACATGTTTGAACAGAACAATGGGATATTGCACGGTTTAAAATCAGGACAGGTATATATGTCTGGGTTGTAACTTTTCACCATGCCTATTCAATCTGTATGCTAAGCAAATAAATTACCTAGACGATGAGATGGACTACATGAAGAAGAACATAGTAAAAGAAATGGAGGAAGACTCTTTAACAATCTGTGATTTGCAGACAACACAACCTTGTTTGGTGAAAATCAAGATTTTAAGAATTTACTGGTAAGATCCAAGCCCACAGCCTTTAGAACGGTTACATCTCAGCAAAGAACATGATTTTCCACAATTGGATCAATAAGCAGTATCACAATAAATAGAGAAAAGTAAGAAGTTGTCAAGGAATTAATTTTGCATAAATCCACAATCAGTACCGATAGGAGGAGCAGTCAATAAATCAAGTGAAATGTTGCACTGGACAAATTTGCTGCCAAGTATTTCCATCCATAAAACGTTACAAAGTCAAAATGTCACCTTTGAAGACTAAGGTGCATTTGACCCAAACCATATTATTTTTCAGTCACATCATATACATGTGAAAACTGAACAATGTGTAAGGAAGACTGAAGAAAAACTCACAAATTTAAATTACAGGGTTAACAATGTTAAATACGCTAGAAGAATGAACAAATCTATCTTGGAAGAAATAAAGCCAGAATGCTCCTTAGAATTAATAAAATTTTATCTCATGTACTTTGTACATGATGTGAGGAGCCACCAGTCCCTGGAAAAGGACATCAGGTTTGGTAAAGCAGAGAGTCAACAAAATCGACTAAGACCCTAAAGGAGACAGAGTGATACAGGGACCACAACATGGGCTCAAACATAACAATCACTATTGATGATGGTACAGTACCAGGCAGTGTTTTGTTAGGTTGTCAGTAGGAGTTGGATTCTACTTTATAAGACCAAACAATACATCAACGAAGTTCTCCCCTTAAAGGAATACCGGTTTACTAGGACCTATTAAAAATCAAACATCTACCTATATTAAAACTTCTCAAAAAAAACCTATAAAGTACAGATTTGGTACAAATTTTGCAGAAGCAAAAGCAAGATAACTCCTCATCCAAGCATTAAAAGGAAAGTTCAAAAGATCAGAAAACAACAAAAGTTGGCAAGAGCATGGAAAGTCTAGAACATTCATGTACAATAATGTTCAACAATTTAAATTTAAAATTTGTAGTTAAAAATTTTCTTATAAAAAATATCGAGGGCATACTATTCTGGTTAGTTTTTTGTAAAACAGAAATAATGCCAATTCTACACAAAATCTTCCATAAACTTTAAGAAGAATCCGAGAACTAATTTGTTTATAAAGACAGCATTACCCTAATATCAAACCCAGAAGAAACAGATCATTATGTCTCATTAGCAAACCTGCAAAACTCTTAAACTATATATTAACAAGTAGAATCTAGCAATATATGAAAAAGTAATATGCCACAAATAATTGGTTTTTATAGATTATCAGTTCAAGATAATATGTTGAACGTAGCAAAAAATTATGCAAGCAATAGGCAGCTGATAAATATAAAAATGAAATATTAGCTAAAATAGAATCATTTAAAACTACTATATTTTACCATCTTTAAAAAACTCATTAATTTAAAAAATATTGTTAATTAAAAATTAGTCCAAGATACTATACCTGAATAACAGACGCTGAATGATTTTCAATTTTTTCCAGTTTTTCCTTCTTTAACATCAATAATTTTCTCTGTGCTAAGAATCTCCGCCAATATTTTTGAATGATCAGTGCAGCATTAACCTCCCTTTTCAATCGTCGTTTAGTTAGAAAATTGATGATAGCTGACTGAATGATTCTTGCGGCTTTGTCTCTCTCCTTGAAAAAAAACACACAAATATATTAAAAACTTTATCACATGAATCCCTAAATTATTCTTGCTTATTGATCAAATTGATCCTGAAGATGAAATATCCTTAGGCTTAATGTAAGATACATTCATCTTTAAAATAGAGGCAACAGTGGGCATGTTCAAGGGCTGACTGGTAGACTTACGGACATATTTGCATAAAGAAATGAAGATTCCTAGTAATTATTATCCTAAAATAAAGGCCATAGACATGTGTGTTCTATCAACAGCTCCTCAGTAATCAAGATAAAACCAATACAGGGAGTAATCATGTATAATTCTTATATAGGTTCCAGGGAATTCATGTTTGATTTTCAAGATAGTATTTAAAGAGAATGAAACTCTTAAAATAAACAAAATATCTAACAGTATAAGGTAGCATTGTTGTGTTATAATGTAAATAAAGCAAAATACTCCTCTTTAAGATAGAAGACATTGTGAATTTAAACCGCAGACACAAGAGAATAAAATATAGTCCAGGTTCTGAAATGGGATGTAAACTCAAATAAAACCCACAAACTTATTGCCCAAGTCAGAACTAATTCAGAACTGACTCTCCAGCAGGTTATGTACAGCAGCGACTGTAAATTGCACAGGCGGAGACCGCTCATATTTTGCCTATGGAACCACTGGGGTATTTGAACTGCCAGAGAGGAGCAGCTTTTGAGTCATCAGAGCTCCCTTATGGGACATAAGAGCTGGATAAAAGCCACAGTGGCCAGGGAGAAATGAGCTGCTCTGAGACCACTAGGAGCCAATATCCTGCATGTTTTTATTTCTGTTACTTCTGGTAATGAACAGCTATTGACACAGATACTGACTCCTTACAGCATGCTAAGATAACATTCTCAACCTTCTATGAGTTACTCACATATACTCAATAGTAGGCATATGTACAGATAGGAAGACTCGACTCAAAGACCATTATTGGGAAGCTGAAAAGGAGAGGTCAAAGGACTTACCAGTCCCACTGGCAATAATCAGGATATGAACCACACAATCTGTCTGGCTTTACCTAGCAGCCAAAGAAATAAATGAGAGAATCCAACAGACAGATTTGCAAAGAACTCTTTAAAGTAATAAAGAACAAGGACACTACTTTGAGGACTAAAGTGTCCCTGACCCATGACATGGTACTTTCAAATACCTCACATTCATAGAAAAGATGGACAATGAATAAGAAATGTCAAAGAAGAACTGGTGTCCTTGAATTGTGCTGACAAAGAATATCGAACATATAATGAAACACTAAAAGAGCAAACAGACTTGTCTTGGAAGAATGGTCTTTAAAAGTGACAATGGTGACATTCTGTCTCACATACATTGAAATGTTTTCTGGAGGGGCCAGAAGGGCATCAATGCTTGGTAAAGTGGAGAGTAGGAGAAAGAAAAAACGATCCTACACGACATGGATTGAAAGTCACTGTTAGTAACATCTTCAAGTACAGAAGTCATTGTGAGGACAGCACAAGACCAGGGAACGTCTGGGGTTTTTTGTTTGTTTGTGTTTTTGGGGTTTTTTTTAATATTTATTGTATTATTTTCACATGTACCGTGAAATCAGATCTGACTGGTACAGGAGGAGATTGCCCCCTCCTTCTCCAGCAGAGCATCTGGTGGATTTGAACCGCATACGTCTGGGATAGCAGTGCAGCGTCTTGTCACTAGGTCACCAGAACTCCCTTGGAACGTTTGATTTTGATTTACACAGGGACTCCCTTATGTTGGAATCAAGAGCTCTGGTTGTTGTTGTTGTCGTTGCGTACCATAGAGTTGGAACTGATCCATAGCTGAATTTCCAGCAATTTTCAGAGGGAGTTAATCACACATGGAAGGAGTTGCCCATCCTTCTCCCACTGAGCAGCTGGTGGCCTCAAACTGTATGCTTTCGGGACTTCAGCGCAGCTTCTTGCCACTAGTGTTCTAATCCACCAGGTCCTCCATGGAATAAAGATGAGGAATTTCCCTACACACAATTTATGACCTCTGAAAACCTACTGGAGGGTGATCAGTGATGAGTGGCTCTGACTCAAAGAGTGTGAGTTTTTTTGGGTTTTGAACAACAGTTAATGCCATGGAATATAGACAAGAAAGCAGGAACTTGATACAATTGCCTTGTTTTTTCGGGCTTTTTCACGTTTTTCACTTGACAGGCTGCAGACTTACCAGTTTTCTATAGCTCTCTATTAATGGATGCCATTTCAGTCTGAACTGAAAAATAAACTCAAGCCTCAAGTTGCAATACTAAGAGATGCTATGGGCAAAACCAAGAATGATCAGGAAGAGAAAAAAGATGAAGGGAATACACAGAATCACCGTACCAAAAAAGAACTGGCTTACATGGAAATATTTCTGGAAGTACCATATGATCAAGAATCAATGTTAATGAAGGAAGTTCTAGCTGCACTGAAGTCATTGGCAAAAAATAAGTCCCTAAGAATCGATGGGATAAAAGCTGACATGTTTCAATTAATAGATGTAGCACTGAATGTGCTCACTAGTCTATACCAAGATTTAGAGGACAATTGCCTGGCCAACTGAGTGGAAAAGATCCATATTTGTTCCCATTCCCAAGAAAAATTATCTAAGAATGTGGACATTATAAAACAACATCATTAATATCACATGTAAGTAAAATACTAATGAAAACATTTAAAAATGGCTAAAAACAGTGCATATACAGAGAACTGCCAAAAGTTCAGTCTGGGTTTAGAAAAGGCTAGCAGGGATATCACTGTAAATGCCAGATAGAGCCTAGTGGAAAACAGAGGCTACTAGATGAATGTCTATTAGTGCTTCATTGACTATGCAAAGACATTTGACGGGGTGGATCATAACAAATTATGGCTAACATTAGAAGCATGGGAATCCCAGAACACTTAATTGTGCTCATATAAAACCTAGAACTAGACCAAGAAGTTGTCCAAATGAGGCAAGAGAACACTACATGGTTTAAATGTAAGAAAGGTGTGTGTCAAGGTTGTATTCTCCCTCCATACCTATTTAATCTATATGCTGAACAAATCATTCCCGAAGTTGGACTCTATGAAGAAGAATGTAGCATCAGGATCAGAGGAAGACTCATTAACAAAATGCATTATGTAGATGACATAACCTTGCTTGCTGAAAATGAGGAGGACTTGAAGTACTTGTTGAAAAGAACAAAGATCAAAAGAAGATCAAAGACATCTCAACATTAAGAAAATAAAATTCTGCCCACTCTAACAATAGGCAACATTATAACAAATAGAAAAATGATTGAAATTGTCAACAATTTCATTTTACTTGGATCCACAATCAACACCTTTGGTACCAGCAGTCAGGAAATCAGGAGACACATTTTGCATTGGGAAAATCTGCAGTCAGAGATCTTTCTAAATTACTGAGGAACAATGATATCAGTTTGAAGACTAAAGTGCATCCAATACAGGCCATAGTCTTTTCACTCATTTGCTAAACCTCTGAGAGTTAGACCATGAGAAAGGATGATAAAAGAATTGATGCCTCTGAACTGTGGTGTTGGAGAAAATTATTGGCTATTCCATGGACTACCAAAAGAACAAAGTGATATGTGTTGGAGAAAGTGTAACCAAAGTGCTCTCTGCAGGCTTTGCCTCATATATTTTGGGCATGTTGCTAGAAGAGGCTATCCCTTGGAAAGGCACCTCAGGCGTAGAAAGGTGGAGAGTTGGAGAGAGAGAGGAAAACCATCAACCAGATAGAATAATTATAGCAATAAACTCAAGTGTATCAGAGATGAGGAAGGCACAGGACAGGACAGGGTTCAGTTGTTCATGAGGTCACTCTAAGTCATACTCAACAGTACCTAACAACAATAACAACATTTTAGTCTTCCTTCTGTGTTTCTAGCTTTCACAGTTATTACCATATTTCTACTAGATTATAGAAAAAGAATCTTTTCTTTTTCAAATACAAAAAAAAGATGTAACTGAATAGTAGAATAACGGTTTATTTTTGTAGGAAGGAGAGAAACAGAAATATCTATTACTTAGCTCAAAGAATTACTTGAAAAAAGGAGGTCTCATTAACAAAAAAACTAAGAAACTGGTGGAGTCAATATATAATACGTTAGATGGATCTTGGCTGAAAGCAGATAGTACCAGTGGAATGTCTTTGTTTCATTGATTATGCAAAGATATTTCACTGTGTGGAGCACAACAAATTGTGGTTGACTTTGAGAAGAATGGGAATCCCAGAACACTTAATTGTGCTTATGCAAAATCTATACTAAATTAGAAAGCAGTAGTCAGAACAGAGAATGGAAACACTGCATGGTCAGGATCAGTAAAGGTGTGCGCCAGCGATGCGTCCTATCTCCTTACCTTTTTAGTCTATATGGAGAACAGATGGTTTAGGAAGCAAGACTTTATGAGGAGGAATGTGGCATCAGGATTGGAAGAAGACTCATCAACAACCTGTATTATGCAGATGATACAACCTTGCTTGCTGAAACTTAACAGAACATGAGGTATTTGATTCAGATGGTGAAAGACTATAGTCTTTATTATGGATTGAAGCTCAACATCAAGAAAACAAAGATTCTCACCACATGGACTACTGGCAGCTTCTTGATGGATGGAGAAGAGATTGAGATTGTTTGTTACTTTTTCAGCTTGCTTGATCCCACAATCAAAATTCTTGGCACCAGCAGTGAAGAAATCTAAAGATGAATTGCATTGGGAAAGTCGGCTGTCAGTGACCTCTCTAGAATACTGAAGAGCAATGATGTCAGTCTAGAGACTTAGAATGTGCCTGATCCCGGCCACGGTCTTTGCAATTATTTTCTGTGCATCAGAGAGCTGGACAATAACTAAGGATGATAAAAGAAGGATTGATGTCTTTAAGTTGTGATGCTGGAGAAGAGTGTTGAACATACTGTGGACTGGCAGGAGAAAAAACAGGTATGTTCTGGAGAGGGTGAAACCCGTTTGCTCCCTAGAGGCAAGGATTTTGAGGCTCTGTCTCACATACTTTGGGCACGTGGCCAGGAGGGACTAACCAGTCCTCGGGAAGAGACATCATGCTTGGAAGGGTAAATGAACAGCACAGGTGAGGAAGACCCCAAATGAGATGGATTCACCAAATGACTGGGGCAATGGGATTAGTTCTGTAGGAAATGATGACATTGGCTCAGGATAGGGCAGCTTTCAGAGCTAATGTACATAGTATCACTATGAGTCACAGATGACTCAATGGCACATAACAACAACGTATTTATATTTTGAAGAGAAAATATATTTCAAACCCCTTGACAACTGGAATTCTAAATCTTTCAAGTACAACTCTATATATAGCAGGATTCTGCAGGAGAGTCTTCCTTAATTTCTTATACTTCTCCAAAGAGTTTTCAGCAGTACAGGGTGTAGGGAAGGAGGCAGATCTTGTGAAAGTGTTGAACAAGATAGGCAAGGCACAGAGACCATGTAGTAGCTACTGTTGCTGTTAGGGGACACAGAGTCAACTATGACTCATAGCAACTCTCTAAACACTGTTTGGAACCTTACTGTGCTATAGTAGGTCTACTGCTTAAAATGGCTTTCCGAGGTCATACCCTTGCCTTTGCCACATCACTGGACAGGAACATGCAAACAGAATGTGTTACTCTATCCACAAGGAAACTGGCTAGTTTCTTTCGCAAGTCCACCAGGTTTAAACTGAGCAGAGTTGACTTGAGTTGACTACCTATGGAACCAGAGCTAGGAGTATTTGCCCATGCTTGTTGGAGAACTTTTGGAGATGGGAGATGTTTGAAGAGATCGATATTTGCTCCTATCCCAAAGAAAGGTGACTCAACAGAATGTGGAGACTACAGAACAATCTCACTGATTTCACATGCAAGCAAGATTTTACTGAAGATTATCCAAAAACGACTGGAACAGCACATCAACAGAGAACTACCAGAAGTCCAGGCTGGGTTTAGAAGGGGTCGTGGTACTAGAGATATTGTAGCTGATGTTAGATGGATCTTGGCTGAAAGCAGGGAATACCAGAGGAATGCCTATATGTGTTTCATTGACTATGCAAAGGCATTTGACTGTGTAGATCATAACCAACTATGGTTGACTCTGAGAAGAATGGGAATCCCAGAACACTTGATCGTTCTAATGCGAAACTTATACTTGGACCAGGAGGCAGTCGTCAGAACAGAGCAAGGGAACACTGCATGGTTCAAAATTGGGAAGGGCATACGCCAGGGATGCATCCTATCTCCATACCTTTTCAACCTATATGCAGAACAGATTATCTGGGAGGCTGGGCTCTATGAGAAGAAATGTGGGGTCAAGATTGGTGGACGATTTATCAACAATCTGCGTTATGCGGATGACACAACCCTGCTTGCTGAAACTGAAGAGGACCTGAAGCGCCTGCTGCAGAGCGTCAAGGACTGCAGCCTACAACATGGATTGAAGCTCAATGTCAAGAAGACAAAGATTCTCACCACTGGACCAATTGGCAGCATCAGGATGGATGGTGAAGAGATTGAGATTGTACACAGCTTTAGTTTGCTTGGCTCCATAGTCAGCACTCTTGGCACCAGCAGCCAGGAAATTAAAAGGCGCATTGCCATGGGAAAGTCTGCTGTTAGGGACCCCTCCACAGTACTGAAGAGCAGTGGTGTCTCTCTGGAGACTAAGGTGCGTCTGATACAGGCCATGGTCTTCGCAATCACTTGTTATGCATCAGATAGTTGGACAATGACCAGGGAGGATAGAAGGAAAATTGATGCCTTTGATATGTGGTGCTGGAGAAGAGTATTGAGAATACCATGGACTGCTAGGAAAACAAACAGATTTGTCCTGGAAAGGGTTAAACCAGGTGGCTCCTTGGAGGCAAGGATTCTGAGGCTCCATCTAACATACTTTGGACATGTTGTGAGGAGAGACCGGTCCTTAGAGAGGCACATCATGCTTGGGAGGGTGGAGGGACGGCGCAGGAGAGGAAGGCCCTCTATGAGGTGGATTGATTCAGTGACTAGGGTAATTGGGATGGGAGTGTCGGAGACAGTGCAATTGGCACAGGACAGAGCAGAGTTTAGGGCTGTTGTACACAGGGTTGCTATGAGTCGCAGGCGACTCAACGGCACATAACAACAACAACAACAAGAAAGCAGTAACACAGGCCAAAAGACACAAGACTGATGGATAGACAACCTGTGAGCATACTTCAAAAGCTGTCCTGATTGAGAAATTGTATCCAACTGCCAACCTGAGTTATAATGTGTTAACTTCCCTAATAGACTCCCATAATTGTTGGGTATAGTTTGTGCAGTCTGTGTAGCTACTGAAACAGATTTCAGACCCAGTAGAACATACTTTCGTTGTTAGGTATTATCCCGTTGAGCACAACATATAGCTCCTTATGAATGACAAATACAATCCCCATCTTATCCTGTGCCATCCTCACAATCTTTGACACACTCAAGCCTACTGCTACAGTCACTGGTCTTCATTTCCTTCACTGTTCTTTCACCTTTCCAAGCCTGAAGCCCCTCTCCAATGAACAGCCTCTCCTAGCAACATGCCCAAAGAATGGGAGAAATTGTTTTATCATCAATGCCTCTATGAAGCACTCTGAATGCACCTTCTCTAAGACATATCTGTTTGTTCTCTTGGCAATCTATGAGATAGTCAGCACTCTTCTCCAATACCATGGTTCAAAGTCATCAATTATTGTTCTATCACCCATATTAATTATCCAGCTCTCAATGAATAGTAAATGACTGAAAAACTAGACCATGGACTGAATAAGGCATACCTTAATCCTCAAACTAATAGCATTGCTTCTCAATGTGGAGAGGTCCTAACGACAGATTTCCCCAGTACAATAAAGCTCCTGATCTCTTGACTAGTGATACCAACTCTACTGATTGTGGATCTAAATAAGATGAAGTCGTTGACAGTTTCAATCTTTCGTCCATCATCATCAGGTTGTCAATTGGTCCAGTGGTGAGGATTTTTGTTTTCTTGATGTTGAGATGCAATCTATATTGAAGGCTACAGTCTTTGATCCTCTGCAGTAAGTGCTTCAAATTCCTCTCACTTTCAGCAAGCAAGATTGTGTCACCTGCATACGGAAGGTTATTGATGAATTTTCTTCCAATCCTGAAACGACATCTTATTCACAGAGTCCAGCTTCTCAAATAATTTTTCATTAGTTCCTGTTAAAATTAGTAGAAAGAAGTGCAGGACCAGGGAGGACATGCCTGACTCACAGAAATTAGTTTTGTGTTGCTCATGTTTTCTGTTATGGATGCTATTGAGAGGGACAGTCTCCCCTTAAAGAGTCAACAGAGGTCAGACGTGGCCATTCCCCCACTGTCTTCACATTTTTGTCATTTGTGACCAAGTCTAAGACATTGTCTATGTCTCAATGATTTTGAGAGGGGCAGTACAAACTATTTAATTAATGTTTTTTCCAAATCTGATTTGAAATATTGTTTATCCAAACTAAATTTACAACTGTCAAGTTGAATCTAACTCATAAGAACCCTCTACCGAGTTTCTGAAGCTATAAATCTTTATAGGAAGAGCCTGCCCATTGGCCAGCCACAGAGCAGCATTTGAATAGGTGATCTTTTTATTAGGGTCATGAAAGGAAACAATAAATAATACTTATTTTCATGTTTACATCTTAAATATTTTGAGAAATAAAATAGTGGAAAACAAAATATCACTGTCATACCTAATCAAGGATGTGTTTGAAGACATGGCTATGGCATAATAGGGTTGCACACCCCCAAATTAGACACTTAGCATCCAGTCCTGATTAGCGCTTTCTAATAACAAGCTTCACTGACCACAACATGAAAATAAAAGGGAGAATTCCTCTCTATGAAGTTAGATTAGGTCAAGTATCCTTAGTTTATTCTTCACAAAGCGGATAAATCATTCTACTTTCCAATGCAAAGAAAGTAAAAGGATAGAAGCTGAATGATGTATTGATTAAAGCAAACAGTACAAGTTAGAGGAAAATATTCATGTCTAATTTCAACTCAGACACACACAATCATTGCCTTTATCTCAATAACTTCATGTCAGTCAAAGACAAACCACATAAAAATTAACTGGCCTTTTATAATGTGCAATTCATAGACTAGTATTCCCATTGTTCAGGAGTACCTGATAGCGTTGTAGATCCATTTTTAGTTTATATCGTCTCCAAGTTGTTTGTATAAGTCGAGCAGCTCTTATTTCTTTACGAAGATCCAAAAGTCTTGCACAAAGAAATGACAAATAAGTAATAACCACCTAAAAGAAAAGAAACCGCAAGAGATGAAAATAGAGGATTGAGAGAAGACAACATCTTCTGAGACACTACTGGTTTTAAAAAATTTCTTTATATTTACCTTTTCATCTGGAATTGTATTTGACATATCAGAATGATGAATCATGGCAGGTATTCCACCAAGGTCTCTAACTGCAGAGTTCACTAACTGAAAATTTTTCTTTTCATTTTCTAGGAGCTCTTTGTATAGTTCTGAAGTCTCTTCTACTATGTAAATGGAGGGCGGGGGAAAGAGAAAAAAAACCAAAACACCCAGAAATTACTCTGGACTAGCCAAAAAATAACACCTAGCAAATGAAAATTTTCTAAAATCAATTAAGTTGAGACTAACCAAGATCAGATGCTTTAGGAGACATATTTAAAAAACTAGCATCAGATTCAGATGATGAATTCAAAACCACTGAACCAGTTTGTGTGCATTCCACAGTTTGAGTAGTACGTTGACATATAGCCTCAAATGGCACATAGGAGGGATGGTAGTGGTGGATCAAGTAACATAACACTCGGCCGTCTGAGAAAGACACTGTAAAATTCTCCACCTAAGTGAAAAAAAAACCAAAGAACTTAGTACATTTAGTTAGTAATACAGATACTAATACTTTCATAAACCAATGACTTTCTCTTTTTTTCGATAGCTAAGAGAATCACATTACTTTTTAATAGTATCTAGTGTCATAATCACAAATTCATAATTATAAAATATTAGCTATTCTAAAAGTAGAATTTTATTAAAATTTCTTTTTGGCTCACTATTAGTAACTATCATATAGATTATTTGTCTAATTAATGATTCTTCTACTAACAATGCTTGGTCAAAAAAAAACAATTTGCTATATCGAAATATACTTTTTATCACTGTTCCTGCTTTCCATCCTTTACTATATTATTAATTTGTGTAGGTCAGAGAATTTTCCCCTCTACATTTAAAGACTTCCAATACAGAATTACCATTTGACCCAGCAATACTACTGCTGGGAATATACCCCAAAGAAACCATAACTGCCACCCAAGCAGATATACGCACATCCATGTTAATTGCGGCTTTGTTCACAATAGCAAGGAGCTGGGAACAACTCAAGTGCCCATCAACAAACCAACGGATAGAGAAGCTGTGGTATATTCACACAATAAAATACTATGCTACATTGAAAAACAAGGAACTCATAAAATATTATACAAAATGGGTGACCCTGGGAGACATTATGCTGAGTGAAATATCGCAGTCATAAAAGGACAAATATTACATAGTGCATCCTGTTACCAAATAGGACTGACATCGGGGCTGGGGGGGAACCTAAGAAAAGAGAGGATAAATAATGTATACTGTATTGAAACAGATAAGGGAGAGAACTGTTTAAAAGGAAAATAGGATTAGGTATTATTTTCATGACAAGATTACTGAAAAAGAAATGCACCTTAAAGTGGACAATGGACTTGGGGGGGAATGTATAACAATGAAAGATTGTAACAATGTATAACTGTGGGGAGAGGTGGGCAGGGAGGAAAATGTACAACAATGAATGAATGAGGAAAAAATTAAATGGAAAGAATATGCTGTAAAAAATATATATATGTTGAATTTAAAAAATCCTTAATAAAAAATTTTAATTAAAAAAGGAAAAATAAAATATAAAAAAAAAGAAATATAACTTAACAAATTATTATAGAAAGATCCTCTTATATTTTTTTCCCTCCTCCCTTTACCTAATGGTAAGGTTGCCTCTCTGTTGTTTTTTACAATAGGGAGCATTATATGCATTTACCTTAATATCAAGAATATAATCCTTGGATATGATTGCTGTATGCATATGTCTCATATTTTCTTTGTTAATGATTCATGAAATTATATAATTAATGATAATGATACATGAAATTGTATAACTATGAATGATACATGAAATCATGTAACTGATGACATCTTAAATCAGATGAAATACATTATAAGTATGCTAATTTATTTGAGGAAAAGCTTGCCTATATATGTATATATATACATACTAAATTATTTAAGAAATAGAGGAAAATATTTGTACATTAAATTCTGGTAACGTAGTCTGTAGGGAGGAGGGGCTGCTAATCTAAAGGTAGCACTTCGCTGGCAGTTCAAATACACTATTAGGCAATCTTCTCCCTTGTGATTTACAGCCTCTGGAAAACCCACTGGAAGATTAGAGTTGGTTTGAAGTTGATAGCAATGTTCGTTCTGAGTTTGAGAAGTTTCACTTACTTAAGATTAACCAAAATGTATTTGAAAATATTAGGTGAAAAGAAAAACACAGAAACTTACTTTCTTATTATAGAAGGCGCAAACAGCATTAACCCAATCCATTAACAGCTTTATGCTTTCACTATACTGTTCAGATAGACCACTATTCCTTTTGTCTTCTCTCTTATTAGTCACAATATCAGAATGGCACGACAGTGCAGATAATGCTTTCTTTATACTCTTTGTTTGTTTCAAAAAGTCAATTTCTTCCTTTAATTGATCTAAATTAAGGGAAATGTCCACCTGAAACACAGAAAAGAATAAACGATGGTATCTCTAACCCCAAAGAAACAAAACTAATTTTTATATTTGGATAAACTGTGTTACTACCTCATCTCTTAGAGGGTAGAAAGTTAGCTGTCAACCCACAAGCAGGCAGTTGAAATCTGTTGGCCTATCTGAGGAACAAAAATGGACAATCTAAAAAAAAAACAAACTGGGCAATCTCCTCCCAAGGGATTAATATCTCTGAAAACCCACTAGAGAGTCAACTATGAGTAGACACCAACTTGATGGTAATTAACAAAATCAACAAGCAAAGCCTCACATTTACTAAAGACAAAACCAATCTATATTGAAGTGGTGGAATGCTTGATTGAGACTATGGGATTTAAGGCCCCACTCACCTCTATTTCTTATAAAAAATATAACTTTCAGCTTGCTTCCCCATCTCAAGAGATAACAATTTACTTTATAGGGAGATATATACATCTACCCACTACGATATATACAGTATCTATGCATGACTATATTTATATACACTGTGGTTGTATTTTTTTTTTTTATATTATCAAGTTGGAGTTAACTCTTAGCTAACCCTCCAGTCAGTTTTCAGAGGCAGTTAATTGCATAGGAGGAGATTGCCCATCCTTCTCATGTGGAGCAGGTGGTGGATTCAAACTATGTGACTTCAGGTTTGCAACACAGCTTCTTGCCATGAGGCGACCAGTGCTCCCAATATGTACATATAGATTGTGTATGTTTGTGTGTGTATATACTGCTATATTTATCTATAGTTTTTATCACAATTCCAGAATAGCATAAACCCCAAATACAAGTCACTTTTCTTATTAGTTTTCTCTTGACTCAAATTGTTTTTACAAGTTGAGATTTAAAATCTAAAATGAACCAAACTTTCAATACCTGAAACGCAAATGCTATTTTCCAAAGCAATGCAAGGGTTTTTTCTCTGTGTCTATCCACAATATCCTTAGATAGTATAGTATTTCCTACAGATGAAAAGATAACATATTAATATATGACATCACAATTTGGGGGAAGAAAAATGTTTCATCTCTGCCAAGTTATTACCATGCTCATCAGTTAGTTGAATTCCTCGTGACTTCAGAATTTCAAAAACAATGTCAACATTATGAATCTTCTGAAGACGACTTATGGCGGGAATCCTGAGTTTCTTTGAAAGATTCCAGTTCTGTGTGAGAAGCTCCATGGTTCGCCTAGCAGTAAAGAAATTCTGAAATGAAACTGCTATATGAAAAATATATATATGACATATATGAAATACATATATGACATATATGAAATACATATATGACATATATAAAATATAAATATATATGACATATATGAAAAATAAACTTAAAAATTTACCCAAATACATTCCAAAAGGGATTGTAGAAACAAACAAAAAGCTCCAAAAACACTATTAAAATAATATAATTTTGCAAATAATACATTATTTTTTTCCAAACCACACAATTCCTTGTTACATTAGCTTCTTACATGAGCTTTTCATGTTACATGTGTGTTATTTGCTAAGAGAGTTATATATGAAAAACTAAGGTATTCTTTTGTTCCATAGCTACCAAGTGAGTTATTTCTCATTTTAAGTCTATAGTTGAAAGGAAGCTGTTGAACACATTAACAAAGAAAAAATGGGAGATTTATATATCTAAATGGACATAAGAGCATTCTACAAAGAAAAGAAGAAAAATGTGTGTGTGTGTGTGTGTGTGTGTGTGTGTGTGTGTGTTATGTAATGAGAAGTCAGAATTGACTCACTGCTCGCCCTACAATGGTTTTCAGAGGTTGTAAAACACATGGGAGGAGACTGCTCATTCTCCCAGAACCATTTGCTTTTGGTTGGCAGCGCAACTCCTTACCACTAGGCCCCTAAGAGGACATTATATTCTACATACCAAGTAAGTACTTTTCTATGTAAGAGTCCGTCTTAAAAACAGAGACACTATAGTTCAAACTGAGATCTCTACCAAGTCATTAGTGTTCTCTCCATAAGACACTAAATGCTAAACTGACAAACAAAACAAGCCCCAATTGCCCCAATTGATAAATATAGCCAAAAGCTTGGACAGTTTTATAGAATCATAGTTTCTAACCCAAAGGCCATGACCCTTTAGCAGTTTGACTTGAACAGTTGTCCCAAAGGAGAAAGAGAGTACATTGGAAACCCACAGGTGGGTCAGCTATGAGTAAATACTTTTTTTTTAGTATTGTTACAAGTAAGGATCTAGGTCAATAATTTAATATATGAAGTATTTCTGCACTAATAAAATAGATTCATCATTCAAGTATTAATAGTGAATCGACCATTAATGAATGTTGTCAAATGACTTCACAGACCATTGAAAGAATTTATTTTGTGGTAATTGTACAAGGAATATGGTCTGCGAGATCAAATCTCTTAAACAGGGAAAGTTCCTTTCAGCTAGATCTCATCAACGTCCAACTTCGTTAACTATTTGATAACTCTTATATAGGCATGAAAATATGTTTCTTTATAGAAAAGCAATATTAAGCATAAAGCCAATTACTACTACTCCTGGAAATTAAGCAAGATCTAAAGACCAAATTTTCTTTTGTCAGAAAAAATAAATTGGGCGATGTGACTCTATGAAGTGAGCAAACTAAGCAAATATGAAAAAATAAACTGTAAAATACTTTGGGCACATATTTTAGCCTGTATAATGATGACGTTAAAGCAAGCTACAGCAAAATCTGAAAAAGACTATTAATTTTTTATAAAAACATGTATCATCGGGAAAGAAAAGAATGAATGTTCATGGAAATTTAATTTAGAAGAAAATATAAAAATGCATATTTTGTTACTGAATAAAAGCAGGCATTTCATAAGATCTCTTCCTCATAATTGTTAAAGAATCCTTTCATTGTAGCGAACTAGTTCTCTTGACCTCTGCTTAAACCTCCCAACACTGGTAAACTGTATCTCCATAAAACATCAGTATGAATATTGGCAATTTTTATATCTAACTAACATTTATCTTCTTGAAACTTTCATCTGTTTCTCATGAATTAGTATTCATGTATTCAGTTTGGTAATAAACAATTTAATCACCTTTTAGTATAATATTGTTGTTTATATGTACTGTCAAGTTGGAGCTGACCTCTCTAGTTGGTTTTAAGAGGCAGAATATTACATGAGAGGAGATTGCCCATCTTTCCTCTGCAGATCAAATGGTAGATTTGAGATTTGAACCAATTGCCTTCAGGATGGCAGCACAGCTCCTTACTACAAGGCTGCCAGAGATCCCTTATAACCTTTCAAATATCTTCAGATTTCAATGGTTCCCGTTTCCACTGCTACTCCGTAGAATAAATATTCATAGTCCCTAAGATGTATGGACTTATTTACTTTAAAGATATCTTTACTTTAAATAACAAAGTTGGGATGTGTATCTCAAGTTTCCAGTAAATTTGAAATTTATCATGTCTACAATATTCTGGCCATAACATATGTCATTTAAAACCTGATGAGAATGTAAAAGAGATATCAGGATATATGTTATGAATACTACTATCTCTTTGTATCCCATTTTTGATAACTTACTGTTTTGATGCTTAACATACAGGAAAGGCAAATCTCTTTCCTTGACTCCAAAGATACTTCCTTATAAAAGACATAAAATGTAAGAGTAACAATGATGTTACTAGTTCAAATACTATAAAAAGGCCATCATGAAAATGTCATTTTATCCAATGGAATGGGTTTAGTAATTAACTCCATTCATTTCAAATTCAATTTTAAAGAGTCCACTGTGGTACTGGCAAACGATTGTGTAATTTGAATTTGGACATCTTGATGTGATGTTCAAATCTCACTGTATAAAACCTGGACAATTGATTCTAGCATTTTCTTCTGAATTTTCCTCATATGTCAAAAAAGGCAAATACTATACTACAAAATCAGTCTGAAATAAAATGGCACTCATCAAATCACCATTGACATAGTGTATTTCAATATTTGATATTTTAATTAGTTCCACATGTTCCTCAATTCTTTTCTTGTTGTTGTTGTTGTATGTGCCGTC